TGGTGGTGGTGCATGCACATCCTCATTTAATCAATTCACCACCCCTGTAAAAGATGGCAAAATTAATTTAAATTGCTGCACCTCGTTTGGCAACAGCCTGCTTAACAATTTATGACTTTTTTCTTGATGATGATTGGGCTCAAAAGCTAGAGGAAGCGTTGTCGTTCCAGGAATTATTCCAAGTGCTGACCGTGTTTAAGTTGGTGACAAACGACACTTGCCTGTCCGTAGCTGCCACAGTCAGGGACAGATCTGTCACCTACAACTACGTTTCCTCTAAAGTCAACCCAAGACACCCTGTGTAAAGGTATCGGTTTCAAGCCCGCAGGGATAAAACACAGGGTGCTCATAACATTTGCTTTTCAGTTTAGTTTTCGTATTTAAAGATACATGAGGACAGTTCTTTTTCATTATCCTCAAACTGACCTCACCAACCCAGTGAACACCCTGTGTCTCAAATCATTAAGGTGCAGCCTCCCTCGTGATGAAAGAGTGCAGTAAAACGACTTCATTATATTTTTCTGGAGAAAGCTCTACATAAACACACAATTGAATGTCCTTTCTACTACTGCTAAGCACTGTTACTTGAACAGACACGTTGATTTTTACAACTAAAAATTCTGAGAAGTCTGGTAAACGTGCTCCAGTTTGTGGTTACACACATGCACTCTCAAGCTCTAGTTTTTAATTACTAAAAATGTGCAATCTGGGAAAAAAACCCAAACAACGCATTAGTAATTGTTTGAAGGGAATTGTGTCAGTTACTCTGCTTACCTTCTGCGCCATCCTCATTTACGCTTTCTGTGCTGTTTGGGTTTGCTGTACGTACAGGATTCACCAGCCGGTCGCTTCACACGGTAAGGGAAGGTGAGCCTGAAGCAGCAATAGTTTATGTAACCGCTGTAGCTGGAAATTAAATAATTACTGAGCTACACGGATTCTGTAAATGAGCTGTATGGCAGGCTAAATTGAGCTATTCCTTGTTGTCTTAGAAGAATGAAATAAAACTTTTACAGCAAGTAACAGCAAAGGTGATGATGGACAACAAGGCATTGCGGCAGTAACTTACACCACGGCAATTATTAAATAGCAAAAAGTCTTGCATTTACTAAGTTTTTAGGGAACTAGAACGTTATATACTAAGATTGTGCTGCAGCTCCTGCATGCCTTAGGGAGTGAAGCAGTTACTTTCTCTGCCCTCTTGCTGTACAAGGCTTTTGCCTTTCAGAAGCAGCTGGGGCTGTTAAGAACCATTTCCAGTTCCCCACGAGGTGGATCGGATGACTCTCACTTTATCACCCCTGGAGGCCACCTCAAGGACAAAGAAAAGAGATACACTCAAAACTAATGTTTTTACACTGAGGGGGCAGGATCACACAACCATCTCCTGATGACCACGAGCAACCAGGCTAATTAGAACCTGAAGTCCTGCCACTGCAGACCTTCCAGCCTGGTTTGCCAGTTCACGCGTTATTTCCCAGAAAGCCGACGTTCTTCAGGCTGCCCCAGTGCTCAGCAGCCTCTCACCCAGCCCTGCTCAGAGGGAACGCTGTGGTTTTGAGCCTTCACAGCCTCCAGAGACAAAGATTCCTCCCACATCAGTGCCGCTCAGCCTGCACTTCTGAAGAGAAAGGCCACGCTGTGTGCAGAGCTCTTGCATGCCACGAGTAGAGTCACACCCTCGGAAAAATTCTAAATGCTTGTGAAAATATTTAAGTTTTGTCGCTTTGTAGTGGGCTGCTGCAGCATGAGTAAACTGCTAAACTGTATTCACCACCCCCCCCCCCACAATGTTACAATTACTACCCAAGAACACCTTTTCTGACTTTGTTTTAGCTGCCATGGGTACAGTGTTGGCTGCGGTTACTTTTTCCACAACAAATAAAAGCTGGAAAACCTGAATAAATCCACTCAGCTTTCAGACACTTCGCTCGCAGCATATTCATAACCGACACAGTTGGAAGTTCCCAGAACAGCTGATTCACACACTCACGACCGATGCTGCGGAGCGGCCCCAGAATGTGCTCATGTCAGGGACAGTTCGGTATGTGACAGGGCGCTCCGAGGGCAGGGGAGAAGCCTTTAAACAAGCATGGGGTGGCACTTTTTTTTTAAATGTATATAGTGTCAGAGCAGAATGAAGAAAAAGGACAGGCTGACTCCTAATTAACCACAAACTGCTTTACGATTTATTTTCTTGCTACATACTTTGTTATGTATATAATTATTCAATCAATTTGCATTCTCTGAACTATTGGCACTGGAGGCTGTACTGTGCAGAGGGAGAAACTGCAGAGTTTAGCTCAGTTTACATCTGCAAATGACTATGCAATAAGGGGTGTTTTTTATTGTGAGGTTTTTGTTTGGCTGGTTTGGGTTTTTTATCTTTCAAACTGCACTGCGGTAGCTCAGCTTTTATTTCAGGAGAACCAAAGTCTTTTGGCTTTCCAGTCCTGTTAGAAACACTTGTTGAGATTCATTAAGACTACAACCAGTGTTCAAATCAAATCAGAGCTGCTGACTTGCAGTGAAGGAATAAACGTGCCCCAAGCCCTGGCACACACAGGAACCTTCCCCTCCCCAGACACCACAGCCTCTACTCCTGTGCCCAGCACTGACTTGGGGGGGTCCCTGTGCTTTGTGCTCCTCCTCAGCGTTCTGGAAGGTGTAACACACACAGTGAGGGAGGGCAGGGACCAATTGCACGAGGCAACTTCAGAGCTACCCCAGAGTTTCAACTTCCCCTGCGCTACCTCACTACTGATGCTTTTTATGCCAGGAGATGCACACTTGAGGTTAAAAAAGCAGATTGCCGTTTCGCTCATCCAGGCAGGGTTAC